ACAGTCACTTATTCTCTGCCTTTGACCCATTGTGAAACTTTCTAATAGTCTCCATCTGTTGCAAAATAAGCTTCTTTGATGAGTGGTAGGAGGTAAACTTGTCTGTAAATATAAGGATGCACAGTTAGAATACATATTTAGAGGTATTAAGGTGGCAGAGTTAAAGTCAACACCAGGCAGAGCCAAGCCGTCTGGTTCTGTGCAGGTGCCATTATCTGCCAAGCTTTGCTGCCCATTCGCTCATCCCTCTGGACAGTTCCCTTACTTCCATGTGCCTCCTGCCAATCCGCAAGCTAATTTAGGCTTGACCAGATGTGTTTGTGAGTCTACTGGGATCTAGCAACTGGTAATAACCTCCTGCTTTCCCAGAGCTGGTTCACAGTTACGGTTCCTGCTTGCAGGACATATCAAGAAGGGACTCTAGAACTTTCACCATCAGCAGTGAGATGATGTGCAGGATTTTGGCTGCAGAAAAAGAGGTCAGCTTTGGAACTTAGTCTTGGCAGAAGCCCACTGACAGCCAGTTTGTTTTTTCTTCACAACCCTTGTGCTAAGGATTATTTCTTGGTTTGTTAATGTGGATGCAAATCTGCTAATACCATTGGTTTGACGCCTCTTGGTAGTTTGGGTATGTGCATGCATATATGTGGTGAATGTACATGTTTGTGTATATGTGTGCACATGTGTGTGCAAATGCATCTGCATGTGGAAGGCCGGAGGCTGATACCAGGTGTTTTCCACAACCTCTCTTCACATTATTATTATTATTATTATTATTATTATTATTATTAATTTATTTCTTTGGAGGCCGGGCTTCTCACTGAACCTTGAGCTCACTGACTTGGCTAGGCCGACTGACCAGTGAACTCCAGGGATCTGTCATTCTATGCCCCATAATGCTTACATAGGAACCATTTTACCTACTGAATCATTTCTCCAGCCCAATACCTCTAAGTAATTTTAAGTCTGTTTTTCCTGAATTAGAATGTTTGTTTTCTCTAGGTTTGATGTAGGCACTGTCAGGGAGAGTCAAGAACACAGACATAGAGAAATTAGGGAGGACACATTGCTGCAAGCTAACCTGTTAGTGTACAGATGCCCACTGATCTCATTGAACCTCATGAACAGCCAGAGAGCTATCTATAGGGCCACCAGCATGGTCTTAGCCTTATCAGTACATGTAGCACAAGAGGACACAGGCTCTTTATCCTTTCCAGAACTACTGTATGTGTTTCATATCTTTGGAAAACTTTAGCTGCACAGACCTTGAGTGATGTGTTTAATTTCCTCTTCAGCATTCAGAAACTGCTGTGCAGCCCTTCCAAATGTAAAACCTTCATTTTTACTCCCAAGCACAGGTAGAATGTCACCATGGAGGCTGAGCTGGTGCCTGAGAAACCCTGGAACTGACTGGGAAGGCTGCAGTAGAACTTGTCTGAGTCTGGCACTTTCCTCCTTTTCTAAGTTATCTCCCAGTTGCTGGTCACCCTCACAGGTGACTTGAGATTTTAAAGAACAGTGCCCTGTCTGTCATATTGACTTGTCTCAGATTTGTTACTTGGAGCCTGACTTTGGCTACCTTTCTCTCTTATTAGGGCGTTATCATGGACCCACTATTTTTATTTTCTCTCAATCTGTATTTTTGTCTTTTCCTTTTCTCTACTTTTATTGTGTCTGGGCCACTGTTAAGGAGATTAAGGAGAGACGGTCAGGTCACAGGCAAGAGAGGAGGAGCCTTCCTGCCAGCAGAAGCATCAGAAGTAACTGCTGGTGACCATCGGAAGCCTTTCATTTCTGCACGTGTCAGGATTCTGTCCTGGTCTCTTTCAGCAGAGATTCAGTAGAGTCTATTCTTTTCTCCAAAGAAAATATTTTATTTATGATTTTTATCTTATGTGTATGAGTGTATTGCCTGCATGTATGTAAGTGTACCCATGTTGAGCAATGCCTATGGAGGTCAGAAGAGGGTGTAGGATCCCTTGGAATTGGAGTTATAGATAGTTGTTAGCCATCACGTGGGTGCTGGGAACTGAACCCGGGTCTTCTGCAAGAGCAGCCAGTGCTCTTAACTTCTGAGCCATATCTCCAGCTCCCAGCAGAGTCTATTCTTCCGCAAAGCACCCAGAATGCCACTTAGGGTGAGGAATGTCAAGGCTGGCAGTAACCCCTGCAGCAGACACTGCGTTGTTTGTTATGCTCCTTTCCCAAAGTTCAGTCTCTGTTTTGTTGAGTTCTCATAATTCTCAGTTCTATTAAGATCCTCATATATTTATTAATTATTTTTTTTAACTTAATCATATGAGTATTTATTTGTCTTGCCAAAAATAGCGAGGACCAACTAGATTCCAGGTATCCAAGTAGAGCTTGCTTTAGGAAAGTTCCCATAAATAAGGCATAGTCCCTACTCTTCAACAACTGAATGGTTACAGGACAAGGTAACCTTAAAATGATGAAAGACTATAAAAGGAAACAAAGGAAACATAAGAAACTGCCCTTTACAACTGAAGCACAACTTGACAAAAGACAGAGAGCTTGAATACAAGAGTTGAACAGCTTCTATTCTTTGCTGATTGTTCTCCATTTCCTGATCAGAGAGTTCAATGCATCTTTCCCTTTAGATTCCTGAGGACAAACTATCTTCTGCTTCCCCACTAAGGCTCACAGACAGACCACATTTTTAAAAAAGAAGCTCTAGGTTTTTACTCTAGGCAAAGAAGGAGCTTATACTCAGGAACCATAGCTTTAGCTTTATAGCTCCCCTGATATTGTTTCCAAGGAAGCTATGGCCACCCTCCCCAAATGAATAGTGACACTTTGGCTTCTCAGCTAAAATATGGAAAATCGGTTGATATTTGCAACAGAAGGGGCTAGCTAAGGAAGAGAATTAACTTTATCATGTGAAATGCTAAGCACGGAGAGGTGAAATTTTGTAGAAAAATAGACTTACATGTAACTCAACAGAAATAATAGTGCTCCTTAAAGCTGACTCTGGAGGGAAAACAAAGACTAGGAGATGTATGCTCATCAGGCATTTGAATTTTTGTAGCTGTCATATACAGTGTTTGGGGGCACTATTGTATTTATTATTGATTTATGAAAAAGGTATGCGGAATGATCTATAGCTGTCCTGACTCTTTATGTGTATGTGTATGTACCTACTTGCAGCATAGAAAAGTACTGTTTTAGAGTACACCTGTCTCTTTAAGACAAATATGAAGTCACAGATATATTGCTTCAAATATTTGTTTTAATGATTGAGGGGTGAATAACATGGACCAGGTTAAACAGAGCACTTATTTGTTTATGCTTGTTGTAAACATACGGTGTGTCATCAACACTGAATTTTTATAATATTATGACAGGAGACAGGCATATCAAAAGTTTGATACACAGAAGGAAGTCTTGGATGCAAAGAAAAAAGGAAAGAAATTTGAGATTTCATAGTTAGCCAGCTTTTATTATTGTTAGCAAAATGATAACCATAATTTATGGAATAACATAGCTATACTGCATAATTTGATTAATATTTATAATAAATGATATGATTGATGTTTATTCTACTATCATATGAGAAATTAAGGCTTAGAAAGTAGCCTGCCAAAGTTTTATTCCTAGACTATGAAATCAACATAGCTTAAATTTAATTAAACTTGAATAATCCATTGTGAAGTGTCCACCATGCTGGCTTGTGATTACTGACTTTAATAAGGTCTGGTTCTGCCTTTTGAAATAAAACATTAAGACATTGAGAGGCTTTTTTATGATACTGGTAAATCAGAAAGTTATTGGAAAACAAAGGAAGATCATAAAATACAGACAATATAACCAGGGTTGACAGGCCACAGGGAGTCCTTCTGAAGGAGAAGATACTGGGCTCTGAATTCTGATGGAGGAGAAAGATAAATTCAGATAAAGGAGAAAGGAGAAAGACGCACACAAGGCATATGTAAAATAGAATTGTGTGGTCATAGCACCATAAGGAAATTGCAATGGAGAAAGCAAAACACACATAACTGGGAATATGAAGCTGCTAGAAAAGCAACCTAACAAAGACAACCTTGAAAGTGTGCATGCTAGTCTTTCATTTTATTCCATGCATTACAGTCATCAAAAGCCTTTAAATTTAGACGTGACACGGAGACATTTGTATTTTATGGAGAACCTATGACTTCAGGGTTGAAGTGGAGTAGGAAGAGGCTTAGAACAAAGATAGAGACAAAGTAGAAAGATCCAGGTAGGAGACTGTAGGGTGAACTCAGCCAGTGACACTGGGGATTGAGCAAAAGGAGTTAAAGGTAAAGTCAATGTAAATTTTTGAAGAAATACAAGGCATGAGTTGTAGGATTAAAACAGGCAGCTTTCAAGATTTTAGGTGAAGTTGGGTAGGTACATAGTGATGCACAGCACTAGAATATTAGCAAAGTAGGTAGAGATTTGGGAAGGATGGTAAGTTTTCCGGCTTTAAATATGTTGAGTGTGTGGTATGCATTAAGGAAGCGAACAGAGAAATGGATTTGTGCTTCACAGAGAAATTCTTTCACAGAAAGATAAAGTTGGAATGAATTGAAGTACATAAGTAGTTAAACTTAAAGGTAATGTAGAGAAGAGGAAAAATAGGAGATGATGAAGCCCTGGAACCAACCCATAATAAGGTGGAGAAGATGGTGGGATGGAGATCGTGAAAAGAACAAATGGAATGCACGGAAGACTAATTTCAAAGTGACAGATCGACTCAGTCGTTGGCACTACCTAGAGAATAGAGACAACTCTCAAGTTGACAGTTTCACTATATAGGTAATTGAATGGCAGTGTTAGCATCTTTCTCAGGGCAGCATGTGTTTACTCTTATCTGTAAATAAAACTAGATTTATGTACTTCAGATGTGTGGAAGTCTTATCTGTAAACAGATTGTCTCAGAACAGATCTTCCTAGTATCTAACTTCATTCTCTTATGTTGCAGTTTAAGTCACTTTGTTCTTCTGATGAAGATGGTAGCTAGATCTGACAGGGTGAACCAAGAACGGAGGAATCATGACTTTGGTGCCTTTTCACCCTTCCTTCTCCGTGATGTTGATTATGGCCTGTAGCAATTCCAGCTGGAGACTCCCCCAGCCTCCTTTTTTCCTAGTAGGTATTCCAGGCTTGGAGGAAAGTCAGCACTGGGTAGCACTGCTCCTTGGTGTCCTTTACTTCCTTGCTGTAGGGGGCAACGTTAGTATTCTCGCCATCATCTGGACTGACTCCTCCCTGCACCAACCAATGTACCTCTTCCTGGCCATGCTCGCTGCCATTGACCTGGTCCTGGCCTCCTCCACTGCACCCAAAGCCCTCCTCGTGCTCCTGGCACATGATCATGAGATTGGGTACATTGTCTGCCTGATTCAGATGTTTTTCATTCATGCATTCTCCTCCATGGAGTCAGGTGTGCTCGTGGCCATGGCTCTGGATCGCTACGTCGCCATTTGCCACCCTCTGCGTCATTCCAGCATTCTGCATCCAGGGGTCATAGGGCGCATTGGAATGGCAGTGCTGGTGCGGGGATTGCTCCTCCTCATCCCCTTCCCCATTCTACTACAGAACCTTATCTTCTGCCGGGCCACTATCATAAGCCATGCCTATTGCGAACATATGGCTGTGGTAAAACTTGCCTGTTCTGAAACCACAGTGAACAGAGCTTATGGGCTGGCGGTGGCACTGCTGGTAGTTGGGCTAGACGTCCTGGCCATTGGCATTTCCTATGCCCTCATCCTCCAGGCAGTGCTGAAGGTCCCAGGGGGTGATGCACGCCTCAAGGCCTTTAGCACATGCGGATCTCATGTTTGTGTCATCCTGCTCTTCTATGTCCCTGGGATGTTCTCTTTCCTCACTCACCGCTTTGGCCACCATATACCGCATCATATCCATGTTCTTCTGGCCACGCTCTATCTCCTTGTGCCACCTGCCCTCAATCCTCTTGTCTACGGAGTGAAGACGCGGCAGATCCGCCAACGAGTGCTCAGGGTGTTCTGTACAAAAGCTTTGATTTGAGCACATCCTAATCATTTGCAACAGAGGCTCCTGTCAAGGACACAGCCAGGAGCTCATGGCTGGAGTGGATGACATGGATAGAAATCATTCTACAGTAAATTCTACTCCTAGTAGTTGATGCAAAGAATACTAAGAGGCACTTGACTCCATAGTCTATTGAGAGGTATCTGGACATTGGCATTTATGAATATTTTCCCCTTCATCTTACTTTTCCTTCCAATACCCAAATACTCCACCTCTTTTGTTGGCAAGATTTGGGGATAAGAGAACTGGATGGCAACTCTGGGTATGTCATCTTTACTGCCTTCATCCAATGACCGACCCTGCAGCACTGTCTGGAATGGGAATAGAAAGTCACAACCATTGTCTGGTTTAGAGTTCAAAGCCTGTAATTCAATGTGGTGAGCTGTAGACTACTGACTCTGTGTGACAGAGCATCTTTTTTTCTTTATTTTTACTCTTTATTTAGTTTTTGTGCATTTCATATAATAGTTCTTAATCGAATTTACACCCCTTCCCCCATCCATGCCCCCCATACCCTCCACTGGATTTCATGCATTCTGTCATAAATGTTAAGTCTTATCCAGTCAAGCATTTGTACCCATCTGTCCTTTGGTGTAAGTTCATCCACTGGAGTCTGATAGCCTATCTAAAGACCTTTTTATTATTATTATTTTTATTTCATGTGTATGTGTGTATTGCCTGCATATAGGTAAGTGCATGCATGTCGTGCAATGCTCACAGAGGCTGTCAGATCCCCTGGGACTGGAGTTATGGACAGTTGTTAGCTGCCATGTGGGTGCTGGTATTTGAACCCGGGTCTTCTGCAAGAACAGCCAGTGTTCTTAACTGCTGAGCCATCTCTCCGGCTCCTATCTAGAGATCTTAAAGAAGATCTACTCTCTCTCACCCAGAATTAATCAGTTGCCAGTAGTTCCTAGGCTAGGGTTGAGGCCTGCTGCCTATTTCTCTTGTTCTATGCTGAATTTTTGTCTGATTGAGTCCGCATGGGTCTTGTGCATGCTGGACAGAGCCTTTTTAAGGCAGTTGGAAAGGTCACAAAGTGAAATAACACCCTTCATTGTAATATAGATGTTACTTTTACAATTTAAAACAAAAAACTGAATTAGGTACTATATGTAACTTACCCTAGAAATAACAGGATTATCAAGGAAGAATTATATATGTATATAGTGAATTTCTTTTTAAAAGTTTTGTTCATGTTTTAAAATTTATACTTTTTTGCTTAGTGTAAAGAGGGAATAAGACAAAGTATTGAATATATCTGTTTTATAAGTATTAAGTTAATAAAAAGAATTGTGTATTATTTGTATTTAAAAATGTTTCAAAATATAATGGGTTCTAATGTCAGTTAATATAGCATAATATAACATTAGTTAACATAAGTTAATGTGACATAACATAACTAAATATGTTTAGTAAATGTAGAAGTAGTTATATTACTTAAAATGAGTTTCTCTTTCAGAAGTGGATGTCAATCATTTCTGAGGATGGGAACGGGTTAAAAACTCACAAGAGAACTGCCACACCTGGTGTATTGCATCCTGTCTGTTGGACAGCTTCTCTAAGATTAAGTCTTTTCTGTTTTTAAAATGTTACATATTTTGGTTAGTCCAAAGAAGTCCAATTATCATTATATCAAGGTATTGATGCTCAGGTGACAGAAATACACTATTTTTGCATTTTGTATTAGAAATGGTAGAGAGGATGAGTTTTTACTCATCCTCTCCATTCTTTGTAAATTTTGCTCCTGATGAATTCTTTTCTCTTAGAGAGACTGAGCATTCTTTAGTTTGTCTGGCACATGTGGATGAAGTGGGGAGGACTGACATGAATCACGCAAAGAGGAATTACATGGTTTCATTAGGTTGATTCTGTGTCTAGAACTTAAACTCTTCGAGTTGTCCTAAGGAAGCCACAGCTATAATACATATCCATTGGAACATAGTTTTCTTGACCTGAGAGGCATTTTGCTTTGACAGACTATATAAAGGAATGGTTTCCTCTTTCTTATTCTTCATGGCACTTGGTTATTCATGGAATGTGGATATTGTGGTGAGATATGGAACAGCTTTCTTCAATCACAAGATGGAAATGAAGAGTTGAAGACTGAGAGAGCAGGAGAGCCTGTGTCTCAGACGATATCTGGATCACCAACTTGATATCTAGATCATCAACCCTAACTTGAATCTGAAACAGAAATAAACCCACTTGGATTAAGCTGCCATATAATTGGGAATGTTTTTGGCAGCACACTGAATTTGTACCTTAAAAAGTGTATGCTGGGGCTGATGAGATGACTCAGTGGGTAAATTGACTGTATCACAAACATTAGGGCCTGAGTTCAGACCCCCAGAAATCACATAAAGCTGCCCTGTGGCAGCATCTCTGTAATGCCACTGTCCTTCTGGGGGAGAAAGGCGGCACAGACAGGAGACTCTCCAGGAGCATGTGGGCAGGTAACCTCTTGTATGCAGTGGCGAATAAAAGACCATGTCTTGAACAAGATGGTAGGTGAGAATTTACGCCTGAGGTTGTCCTCTGACCTCCACATACATGCTGTGGCATGCTCACAACTGTTACATGAGTGTGTACATGCATATATACACATTATACACACACATATGAAGTATATGCATTTCATCTTGTAACTTCAGGTGGGGCGTGCAGCTACACAAAGTATGTCTCTAACAATTTCATTTTTTAAATGTTTTCAGTTTCTGTTTGCTTAAAATTTTATTTTGTATTCATTTTAAATTATATTCAAATGGCTATCAGCAGATTACATCTTTTTATTTACTATTGAATTTGGGATGTGTTCCTACTTTATATCTAGCATTATTTTTGCCCCATTTCCCTTGATTATCTATGCTTAATATTTATTAATATGAAGAAAATATTTCAATATTATTCCATAAGTATTCAACTAAATGTTAGTGCTCATCCTTTGGATTAATCTTGTCTTTAAAATTTTCTTAGTGCATTTGGGTGTGTATTTGTGTGTAAGTTCACACATGTCACAGTATGCTTGTAGTCAGGAGACAATTAGGTTACTACCTAGTTGCTTATTATAGTTATTAAAATATTTTATTTTTATTTTATGTGTATGAGTGTATTGTCTGCATATGTGTAAGTGCACCTGTTACACACAATGCCCACAGAGGTCAGAAGAGGGCATCAGATCTCCTGGAACTGGAGTTACAGGTGGTTGTTAGCCACCATCTGGGTGCAGGTTCACCTGGGTCCTCTGCAAGAGCAGCTAGTGCTCTTAACCACTGAGCCATCCCTCCAGTCCCCAAGTTGACAATTTTTGAGACAAGTTCTCACTATATAGCCACAACTGGCCCCAATCTCATCACTTCTCCTCCTGTCTCTGACTCCCAAGTTCCGAGATTACAGGTGTGCACTGCCATGCCCAGTCCATCTAGTTTCCTCAGGGTCATTCTCTAGTTCTTACTTCTCAGTGCACTCACTGACTGATTATTCCTGATGTAGTCATTGGTGAATATCTCTTGGGGGTCTGAAAATATGAAGTTAAAGTGAAACCTGTCAGTTTTTAGTATGAGTGTGTGTGTGTGTGTGTGTGTGTGTGTGTGTGTTATGTTTCCTTTACCCCCCAGGTTCAACAACAGAGAAGGCAAGTTGTTAAATTGTTGGCTTCCAACTAGTGTGTTTCTTATCCCCCATATGACCACAAATCCATTTACTTATTTGGCCTGCTCTTGTTTAGAAAGGCTGGCCTCTGGCTGCTTCAGCTGGGCTTTTTGGCCTAATTCTGCCTCCAGTTTGTATGATGGAAGTCTTCGGCAGGAGATCAAAGCGTGAATGAAGGAGCTTCTGGGATGTTTATACTGCTCTACACTTTGCTTTAAAACACTTTTTGACCATGGCTGTGGTTCTCTGTAGCCAGAGATCCTATTGGGAAGCCCCTCTTCACCAGGTTTGAATAATAATGTGACAACTCTTCCCCCCTTTGGGCCTGAGGGTGGGGGTGGTTTCTTTATTCTTCTATTTAAAGCCCTTCTATTAACAGTCCCTTTAAGCTCTTTTCTGTGGAGGAATCCTTTCTTTGTATTCTCTGTTTTTTTTTTTTCAGATCTTGAGTCACAGCAATTTGTACCAAAGTGAGATACTAGGATTGAGTTAGAGTCTTGATGGGCAATTAGTAAAAACATCTTTTCCAGGGAAAAATGAAACATTGGTAAAATGTATGTGGAGTGGAAAGTCAATAAAACAAAGTAACAGCAATATGTGTACCTGGGGTGGTGAGATGCTGTGGTGAGGACAGTAGGGTAGGCTGTCCTAGCGATTTCAGCAACACTTCCTAATAGTTCTTTTACTTTGTGCAAACTGCTTTTTCCTTTGGGGTCTTGGTTTTCTGTTTGAAATGATAACAATACTGAACTATATAGAATTCCTTCCTTCCTCCCTCCCTCCCCCTCTTTCCTGTTTTTTTTTGAAACAGGGTCTCACTATGTAGACCAAGCTGGTTTTGAACTCACAGAGATCCACCTGCCCCTGCCTCCTGAGTGCTCGGATTAAAGGCGTGCGCCACGAAGCTTGGCCTTCATAGAGTTCTTGCAAGACTAAAACTCCATATATAATTAGACTCTCTCTCTCTCTCTCTTTCTCGCTCCCTCCCCCTCTCCTTTTCGTCCTCTCTTCCTCTGGCTCTCATTCTCTCGGTATGCCCATGCTACAATGCATTTGTGAGGGTAGGAGGACAACTTTGTGGAGTTGGTTCTCTCTTTCTACCTTCATGTGGGTTCTGGGAATTGAACTCAAGATTGTCAGGCTTGTAAGGATTCTACCAGCTCCATTGTCCTTTAAATGTGCATAACCATATTTTGATCCCTTAGGTTTGGATGTCAAAGAGGAAAAAGAAAGACATTTAATATATTTGTCAAAGATGAAGTCATAACCTTTACATCACGTGACTATGGGCAACAAAAAATATCTATTGTGATAGGAGAGGCTTTAATATTTCAAATATCCATGCA